AAAAGGAAAAACAGCAACAAAATAATACAGCATAATCCCAGTTAAATGTGTGTAGGTACTGTTTTTGTACGTGAACATAACTCATACCTCTTTTCCACTGTCTTGTTTTTCTGTGGGTTACCTGAGCATTGTTTACAATTATTTTAATTATGGCAAGTATTTTTGAGCCTACCTCTTTGTATAGTTTTTGTGTGTGGTTTCACTAGGTATTACAATACACAAACCTTACATAACACAATCTACATTGACATTTTACCATGTTGACTGAAGTGCAGAAACCTTACTTCTATTGAAGTCCCTTTACCCTCCTGACTCTTTAATATAACTGAATTGAGGGTCTCCTCTCTGTATACTGAAGTACCACATCAGATGGTGTTACAGTTTTTTGTTTCAACCATCAAGTGTGATTTTAAAAACTCATGAGAAAGATAGTCCATTATATTTACCTTTGTTTTCACCCATTCCACTGTTTTTTAAAAATTATCTCTTATTGACTTTTATAGTCAGTTACAATGTGTCAACTTCTGGGGTACAGCATAATGTCCCAGTCATGCATATACATACATATATTCATTTTTGCATTCTTTTTCATTAAAGGTTATTATGATATTGAATATAGTTTCCCATGCTATACAGAAGAAATTTATTTTTTATCTATTTTTATATATAGTGGTTAACCTTTGCAAATGTCAAACTCTCAAATTTATCCCTACCCTCCCCCTTTCGCCCAGTAATCATAAGATTGTTTACTGTATCTGCGAGTCTGTTTCTGTTTTGTGGATGAGTTCATTAGTGTCCTCTTTTTAGATTCCACATATGAGTGATATCATGTGGTATTTTTCTCTTTCTGGCTTACTTCATTTAGAATGATGATCTCCAGGTCCATCCATGTTGCTGCAAATGCCATTATTTTATTCTTTTTTATGGCTGAGTAGTATTCCATTGTATACATATACCACAACTTGCTTTTTTTTTTCTTTTGAAGTTCTGACCCCACTCCTGTTATCATCTCTTTTATAATTGTAGAACTTCCTTTAGCCAGTCTTCAAATTTAGGCCTGCTGGTGACAAAATCTGTTTTCCTTCATCTGAAGGCCTTTATTTCCCCTTCATTTCTGAAGAGCATTTTTGCTAGATACAGAATTAAGGGTTTACCGTATTTTTTTTGGTACTTGAAAAAGGTTGGGCCATCTCCTTCTGGCCTCCATGATTTCAGATGACAAATCCACTGTCATTTAATTGTTTCCCTATGGGGAACGCATTGTTTCTCTCTTTGCACTGAATTTCCAGTGAATTTTCTGCAGGAATTAGGCAAGATTATTCCAGAATTTGTCCAGAGAGGCAAACTCTTAAGACAAACCTAGAAAAATTAGAAAAGAGTGTAAGGGGATATGGCCTACCATATGATATGTACAGGAATAGACCAACAGATCAGTGGGGCAAAACAGAGGATTCTGAGACCCAGATAGAAGGAAATTTAGTATTAGAAGAGTATAGGGTATATTTTATTTTATTTTTTAATTTTAAAAAGATTTTAATCTTATTTTAATTTTAATTTTTAATCTTATTTTTATCTAACTTTATTTTTTTAATTTATTTTATGTTTTTAATGGAGGTACTGGGGATTGAACCCAGGACCTCTTGCATGAGCTCTGCTACTGATCTATCCCCACCCTCTAGGGTGTATTTTAAAACTTGCTATGTGGATGCCCTTTCTAAATGAGAGAAATTCAGAAGTCAGAAGGGAAAAGACTGATCAGAAGTCAGAAAGGAAAAGACTGATAGATTTGACTACATAAAATTTCAAAGCACAGCATGCACATGCACACAACACACAATCTCACCACGTACTAAGGGAAAATACAAGTGATATCTTGTGAGAATATGCTGTATCTGCAAGATAGACATGAAAGTTATAAAATCCCACCAAAGAACTACAGTCATTGCTAAAAACACCAGTGGGTAGAGCGTGTGCTTAGCATGCACGAGGTCCTGGGTTCAAGCCCCAGCCCCACCACTAAAACAAAAATAAATAAACCTAATTACCCCCCACCAAATCCCAGGGATCCTAATAGAAAAATAGGCAGAAGATATGAACAGGTATTTCACAGCAGATAAATAACTAGTCAATAAACAGATTTGTTTATTCACACAAAAAGTGTGAAAAATTAAAACAGGTTATTTTAACTCACCATATGACAAAGTTAAACTTTGATAATATCCACTTGTCATTCATTGAGTCCTCATCTGTGCCAGGCAATGTGCTGGTTATGCGTGTAATGATACGCAGAGCAGGCCCCAGACTCATAGTGCTTGGCGCCAGCGTACACATAATCACGGATACACAATACATACTTACAGACATAATTGCAAATTACTGTAAGTGACAACGAGAGAGCGCAGGATCCAGTGAGAATTTACAACCAAAGAAGCTGTATTCAGAGGACCACACTGGGATCAGAGAAGACTCCGACGAAGCTGCTTGAGCTGAAGTACGAAAGATAAAGGAACGCCCTGATCAAGTCGTGCTGTGAAGGCGCCGACGTCTTCAGGAGTGGAGCACGTTCTCGGGTCCCCTGGGGAAGCAAGGTCGGCTCGGCTAGGGGAAGCAACGCAAGAGCCGGAGGAAGGACGGGGGGTTGGGGGAGGCTGCACGGAGCATCAGGAACCACGTGAAGGGCTTCTGCCTTCGCGTCAGGCAGTCGCAAGCCGTCACATCACGTCAGGCAGAGGAGTACGTTTGGAACTGCTTTTACGAACAGCAGGCCGACCTCTGGATGAAGAGATTTGGAGGAAACAGCAAGACTGCGGCTGAGAAATAAAAGTTCGGACAAGACTCGTAGTTAAGCCTAAACACAAACACATGCCCCTCTCAACGTGTCCGCAGAAGGATCCATTTCTTCTCTCTTAAACTTGTCTTTTCCTGTGTTTACCATCTGACGGAAATAAAGTGATTGAGGAGGTCTGCAGGGGCAGGGTTGGAGAGCGGGGAGGTGTGCAGGCACGGCCTGCGGCAACCGTCGGCACCCAAGCGCTGCGCCCCGTCCCGCCCATAGGGCGCCCCCAAAACGAGCCGGGTCCCCAGTCCGCTATTCACCGGGCCAGCGAATTGCTTTCTTCTGTTTTCCTCTCCCAGTGTCTGTCGCGGGCTGTTTTCCTTTCCTGCGTTTCTTTCCCACAAACTCATAAACTGTCCCTCCACCTGGGCACCTGTCCTGTCTCCATGGACCCCGAGCGGGTGAGGAGCTGGTCCCCAAACCTCATCTGCGCGCCCGGAACCGAGCCCGCTCCGCCCCGCCCCGCCCCGCCCCGCCCGCCCGACCGCTCGCCCGCTCGCCCGCCTGTTCGCTAGCTCGCTCCAGGCTCTGGGACCCGCGGGTGAGCGGGGCGGCGGCAGTCAGGGCTGGAGGCCCTGGATGGAAGCGCTGGGCCGCAGTCGGTTCTGGGAGTTGTAGTCCTCTGAGCAGGAAGCCTGGCTTCCTGCTGAGGCCGCGGCGGACCCTGGGAAGTGTAGTTGTCCGAGGCCCGCGTGCTCCGTCTCGTGCTCGCGGGGCGCCCTGGGAGTTGTAGTGCGTGGGGCGCTTGTGCGGAGGCCGCGGTGTACCCTGGGAAGCAGAGCTATCCGGGGCGCGCGGCCTGGTGGCGGTCAGCTTCTGAAGCTCGCGAAGGCGCAGTTTGCGGGGCGCTGGCTCGGGGTCCCCGGTCGCTGAGCCGAGAGCCTGGCCCCGCGGACCGAGGTGGGTGAGGGCCCTTCCTGCCCGAGCCGGCCCCGCCGGGGTGCGGGCCGGGCGGTGGCTCCGTCCCGAGCTCGCGGACCCCGGGCCTGCCGGCCGGCGCGCACAGAAAAGCCCCGAGCCGTGGCCGGCTGAGGGCGGCGGCGCTGCGCGATGGGCAGCTGCTGGCTGTGACGGCGCCCCGACCGCGTGACGAGGCGGTGGAAGCGGAGCCGGGCCCGCGCGCTCAGCTCAGTTCTCTCCCCGCCAGCCCTGCGTTCGCTCTCCGGGTCCCCGCGGGCCCTGCCGGAGCCATGGCTCAGGTAAGCTGGCTTGTGCTCTCCTCAGCGACGCCGTGTTTTCCGGCCGGGACAAAGGCTCTGTCCCTCGGGACTTCCTGCCCGGCTCCCCCGCCTCCCTCTGCGCTTCAGAGGACGTGGTTCCCGGGGCGGCGGGCGGCGGGCGGCGGGGCGCTTTCCCCGCCTGTGTTCCTCCTCTTGCCGGTGTCAGAACGCGTCGTGCTTTACTCGGCGTCTGCCGCCCGCTGTCCCTCATTCGTTATTCGTCGTGTTTTTCCTGAGCCCGTGTCCACACCCGTGTCCGTGGTCGCGTGCGCCCTGGGTCTCCAGATAACCCATTGGAAATGCACGTGAGAGCCCCAGCCGCGACTTCTGCTCCGGAAACTCGGTGTGCGGGTCCGCGGTCTGCGTGTTGGCGGCCCTTCCAAGTGATTGTACTGCGGGCGCGTCCCAGGTATTGGGGGTCAGAGCTCAACTTGCCGGCGTGACGTTACATTTCCGGAGGAAGGACACCGGTCGTTGTTCTGTTGAGGCCCAGTGCCCGGCTGGCAGTTGTGCTTCACCGAGGCGGGGGCCCGACGTTCGGATCACCCACTTCTCTGTCTTGTTGTTTGACATACTTCTCTCCAGATCCAGAGGCTCTCCAGCTTTTCTGGGAGTCCAGTTTCCACCTTTGTTGCAGATTCCACTGTTTACAGTACGAAACAGCTTCCTTATTAGTCCATCTGTAACAGATGATAGACACTTTAATTTTTTTTAAACTGTAAAATAAAAGTCTCCTACCTCTGGGGTTGATGCTAGTTTGCGACTTTTCAAATTTCCTGTTCATGCCTGACACCAGTGGACCCCGCATGTGGTGCAGAACTAGGCTGCAAACAGGGGCCGGTATTCCCCTCACCCTGAGAGAAGGAGCTTGCGGTTCCATCCTGGGAGGCATTATCCTCCCTCCTTGGGAGGTCCTTGTGGTTTACTTTTTCCTCTTGTTCTGTGACATTGCTAAAATTGCCTCTAAGTTTCACAGTCGTTTCTTCAGAAATGCGGATAAGTGTGGTAAACTCGAGTGTGTTCTCCATTTCCAGGGTGCTGCTGCTATCGGCTACAGCCCTGGTGACCACGGAGACATTCTTGTCAAATCGTGTTAAAATAGGCTGGTGTATTAAGGAAAATATGTATTCCTAGTAAACATAAGGGAACTGTCACCACCATTCATAAAGTGTTGTAAGGTGGTAAGAATTTTTACAGCCAAAGCTGAAGTCCACGTTCACAGTGTAAAATCCTTTGTATCTCAGGACAAATCAGATTTTGTTTTTCCTTTTCTCCAATTATACAATAAAACAAAGCACCCGGGCTCATAGTTATAATGTTAACAGTTACTCAGAATCCTGAAAACTGCTGTGGCACTGCTCCTATACACTGCCCCAACCTCCACAGTGGGACTCATTTCACTCCTTGGTCAGGGCCTTTGGGGGCATGGGTGCTGGTTGTGCGGATGCCCGTGTGTCATTTCAGGGGTCATTGACATTCAGAGACGTGGCCATAGACTTCTCCCAGGAGGAATGGGAATGGCTTCAGCCTGCTCAAAGAGATTTGTACAGACATGTAATGTTGGAGAACTTTGGCCACCTGGTCTCACTGGGTAAGTATTTCTTCTCATCTCTCCTCAGTCAGAATTTGACCTTGAGGATGGTATTGTGAACCTTGATTATCTGGCTGAATCTTTCCAAAGAACAGAAGTTACTACTTAATTAGCTTTTAAGAGGGGAATTATAACTTCACCTAATCTTTAGACATCTTTCATACTTAGATCTGGCATTTCTATCCATGGCTCCTCTTTCCTGAGGGTTCAAGAACTAATTTTGAATTTATTTCAATTTCTGCAAGCAGGTCTTAACATTTCTAAGCCAGATGTGGTTTCCTTGTTGGAGCAAGGGAGAGAACCCTGGCTGGGGAAAGGAGACATGAGCAGAGGTCTATTTCCAGGTGAGTGAGCTAGAAGCTGGTGGGGAAGTTTTTAAAAATAACAACCCAACCAGTCAATGAGAAAGCACTCTTTTATATGTTGGATGGAAAGTTTTCCTTTAAAGATACCAGAGATACGGGGCCTCTGAAGTCTTGCCGACAGCTCCGTTAGGGGCCGCTTCACACCCACTTACCCGCCTGCCTTCAGTCCTCTCCTCCTCCGTCCCTCACTTTCTCCTTTCCTTTCATTATTAGCTCTGTCTGGGCTCTGAATTTTATTTCTCTTCAGTTTCTTTTCTCTTTCTGTTTTAAAAAGTTGACCTGTATGTTTCTGTTGTCTAGATTTTTCTTTCTACTGCTGTTCTAACCCTCTGGAAAGATTGATTCATTACTCTTTGGTTAGTCGATGGGTTTATTCATTTACTTATATTTCTTCTAACAGCATTGATTGAAGTTTTAATCTTGTTAAGTCTTTCTCTTAGGTGGTGTTCCTCTCTAGGAGTAGAAGGCATACAAAAGTATAACAACTATCAAGGAAGTTATGGCATAGTGAGGTCTGTAAATGACTTTGTTAGAGGTTCTCAAGTTGGCAGTTCAACAGTGAGAAGAGAGGAATTTCCAGTTGGTGTTTGAGGCCTGGGTAATTTGGATCAGAGATGGTAGTGACAGAAAAATAGGGGTTGGTTTTGGAGAAGAGGTGATTAATTAGTTTGAGATATGTGTGGTCTGAGCAGAGGATGGTATTTCCAAGTGAGGAAGTGCAACAGAAGACTGGAATTCATCTTAGAAAAGGACTCAAGTTAGACTTGTAGATGTGAGAATCTTAAGAATCAGGAATAGAAGCCATGAGGTAGATTGAGAAGTGCTCTGAAAGCCTTCTTCACCTCAGAAATAGAATTGCTGGTGAAGCTCTTTGAAGATCAGTATGGCCACGCACCAGCCTTGAAGATTCTGAGATCTTTGGAGCCTAAATTGTACGTATTTATAACAATTTCCGTAAGTTCTGTAGTTGATTCCTAAGTGAAGAGAGTGGTCCTCTTGAGGTAACAGGAGAAACACTGTTTTTGGAGAAGCAGCTAATGGAGGGACAGATGAGGGAGCGGGAGATGCCAGGAAAGCTGAGCTCTGGCTTGAAGCAGGGTCACAGCTGCAGAGACCTTCGGGAGGAAAGACGTGGAAAGAGCCCTGATGTGGGCCGAAGTCATGTGGTGGAACAGGTGCAGGGAGACTTCCTTACTGAAGTACACGAGTTGAAGAAAAATGTTCTTTTCTAAATGTTTTGAAAATAACAAAACCAATAAAACTATGTACAAGGGAAGTGGGGTAAAGGGCAAACGTGGAAAAACTGCCTCTAATTCCACTACTTTAATACAGCTCTTGTAATTTTTGTGTGTTCCTTCCCATACCTTTTTTGACAGGTGAAATAGCTCACAGAAATAATGCATCAAACTTAAATTATTGTAAGACACCTATGTCACCACCACTCAGGTCAGTAAACAGAACACTGCCAGGTCCCTAAGAGCTCTCTGGGTGCTCCTCCCAGTCACCCCTCCCCCTGCGAAGGTGCTGTCCTTTCGTGGTGGTAACTTGGTTTTCTGTAGCTTTAGCAACTGTTTGTATTTAGTCATTTTGGTTTGTATGTTTGTGAACTTTATATAGAGGGATTCATAATGTATATATTATGCTGGAATTTGCTTCTCCCAAAATTATTTTAATATTCATGCATTTTGCATACTGGTCTAGTAGTTTGTTTCGTCGTACCAGTGGATACACCCCAGTTATCCATTGTCTTTGACAGCTTCTTGGGTTGTTTGCAGCTTAGGGCTGTTGCAAGCAATGTTGCTGTGTCCTTGTGTCCTGGCGTGAACTGGCACAGGGTCCCTGTGCTTTACATCTGGGCTGGAGTTGTCCCTCTTCCACCTCATTAAGTGCCAGAATGTTTTCCAAAGTGCTTTTACTGACTTGCACTCCCCCAGATGCAGTAAGCGGGTTCCTCTTGCCTGACATTACAGTGCATCACACTGTTCACCTGTTAGGGGAGGGGCAGTGCTGGCTTACTCTGGTTTGAATGTGCATTTCTCCAGTTACTAATGAGGTTGAGCACCTTTTCACACGTGTATTGAACATTCAGATACCCTCATTTGTGAAGTGCCTCTTGAAGATTTTTGCTCGTTAATCCATTAGATTCTCTTTTTCTTGTTGATTTGTAGGAGTTGTGTATTTCAGGTAAAAATCCGTTGTAATTGGATTCACCGTGAATACCTTTTCTTAACCTGTGGCTTACTTTTCCCCTTAAAACCTCTTTCAATGAACAGGAATTCTTATTTAGTGCTTGTGTAATCAGAGTTATCAGTCTTTCCTTTTATGATTAGTATTTTTTCAGTGTGTTTAAGAAATTTTCCCCTACCATGAGGTCATGATGACATTTTCTTAGATTTTCTCTTACAAGTGTCTATAGTCATTTTGCTACTCACATTTAGATCCATGGTCCACTTTGGATTTATTTCTGTGTGTCATGTGACTTGGTGGTCAGTTTTGGGCTCTTCTATGTGGACGTCTGGTTCTCACAGCACCATTTATTGACGTGTCTGTCCTTTCCTTCACTGTTCTGTCATAAGTTTGTCATAAGTTAAAAGTGAGTTTGTTTCTGAGTTCTCTATTTTTCATTTTTCTATTTTACTATCTTTGTATAAATCTGTACAGTCTTAGTTATGAATTTAATAGTGGATAACATTTTACTGTATTTGCTTTCCTTTCCCTCTTTTTTGCTGAATAATGTAATTTGTAGATATCTTGACATTTCCCTGCACAATACTTCACTGTCATGTATAGGGACATTTTCTACATACTTGAAATATTTTCACACCAAAATAACAGTTTTGCCTAATTTTGTTTTAATGTGCTGTCTGTATCTGGATTGCCTTTTCCCTGTGGAATGATGAAATATTCCTGTTTCTCTGTATGTCCTATAACTTTGAATTCACTTTTTTTTTAAAATTAAGACTTAGGGTCTTGTTTAAATCCTGTTGCAATATTAACCTTATTTAAGCAGACTGTTGATATGGGTAAATTGAAGCCACAAGTTCTAACCTGTCTTCTATGTATGTGGTTCCAATGACAGTCCAGTTTCCAGAACTTTTGTGAGTATATTTTATTTGTCCCTATATGTACCTCCCAGTGGCCTTTCTGGAACTTAGGCAGTGGGTTCCCCTTTGTTTCAGTTCTCACAGCTTCAGGGTCAGATCCACAGCGATTTAGGGTCAGATCCACACGTCCACAACTCGGGGATGTGCCCAGAATCTCATACACAACTTTATGGGATCACCTTCTTGCCCTCCCATCTTCACCATCTCTCCTTTCCTTTTTGGCTCCCAGGGCCCCCCTTTCAGGTCTTCTGGATAGAAAGGCAGGCCTTTGGTTTCCCCTCTGCACTTCCTGCAACTTTGTCTGCCTCTGCAGCCATGCAACAAAGAGATGGAGAGAAAGAAAAAGAATGGGTATTACCCTGTGCTCTTGGGACTATAGATTTCTCTGATGTGGGAGGAAGGCTGCCCTGTCTTGAGGTTTTAATTCCATCTGTGGCCACTGCTGCTGCAAGATGCTTTGGGTTTGGGCAGAAGAGACTGGGAGATGAACAGGCAGTAAGATTTCTCTGACCAGGAAGGGTCCTTTCCCAGTCCTAAGACCAGAAGTAGAAGCTTCTCTTGGGGCTGTTTCTCCTCATCCCTGCTGCCCAGTTCTTGCTTTCGGACTGCCTTTGAGTTTAGGCCTGTGGAGGCTGGAGTGGGGAAAAAAAACAAACCCAAGAAACTCACCACTAGTTGAGTGTTACTTTGAGTTCTGGCTTCCTTCCCCAGTCAGCTTGCTACCATTTACTTTTTAGAGTCCTTGGCTAGGTGCTTTATGCAGTCTGTCCACGGTTTTTACTTGTATAGAGTGGGAGAGCCAGAGAGGGGTGTACTTACTCCATGTTTACAGGGCTGGAACTACTTATATAAGTGAAAAGAAGTTACAGCATTTATGAAGATCATACTACTACACTGAAAATACGAGGTTCAGTGTAGATTCAGCAACAGTGTAAAGTGTAAGGAGGAGAATGGTGGGAATTAAGGACGGTTAGGGAAAGCCCTGGTCAGATCATGCAGGGATTTTACGAGTCATATTAATGAACTTAGAGTTCAACCCCAGGCTAATAGGGAATCATCAAAAGATTTTAGGCAGGTAAGCATTTTAGTAAGGCCATTCGAGTTCCAGTTTGGAAAACAGGTTTGTTGGGAGCAAGATTAGGAAACAGGGCTGTCATTTGAGAGTTGCTACCATCACCTAGTGGTGGTGTGATCATCTCCTGAACTATGGGTGTGTCCAGGGAGTGGAAGAAGGTATACACAGGGTAACAAACCAAGTGGACTCAGAAGGACTTGGTGATTGATGAGATAAAAGACATGAAGAAAACTGAGAAATTGTGGTTGACACCACTTTTTTTGCTGGTATTATTTTTCTTTAAAAAAAAAAAAGGATGAACAAGTTAGAAGGGAAGGAAAGATTACCTTGTCTTGGAGTTTCAGCTCCCTTAGGATACTCGGGTGTATACATCGAGTAGGCAGTTGAGTTATCATGGAGCTTGAGAGAGATACCACGGTGTTTCTCAAATTTCAGACCTTTGGATTGTTTTAAAACAACTATTCCCAGGTCCCACTGCAGAAATTCGAAATTGTTAGGTTTATGGTGGCAGTCAGGAATCTGCAGGTGATGCTGATGCTGCACTAGCGTGTATGTTTAGGAGTGATCTGTGCAGCTTCTTAGGGTTTTGAATTTTCCTTGTAAAATCCCTGCATACCTTGTTGAATTTATTTTAAAGCAACTTTTCTAGTTTCTTTTCTAAGTAATATTTACATCTATAGAAGTACTAGTGAATTTACATATTTCTGTAAGTCAATCTTTATTGTACCAATAAAAATACCCTAAACCTGGGGTGAGGGTATAGCTCAATAGTGGAGTGTGTGCTTAGCATACAGCAGGTCCTGGGTTCAATCCCCAGTCCCTCCATTAAAATAAATAAATAAACCTAATTACCTCCCCACTCAAAAAAAAAAATACCCTAAACCTTTCTACCTTAAAACTTCCCTTCAAATACTGTAGTGATTTTTCTTTAATCAATAAACTTAATTTTTTTTAGAAGCAGTTTTAGGTTCACAGCAAAATTGAGTGGAAAGTATAGTTTCCATGTACCCCCTCCCCACCCACACCTAAGCTTCCCCACTGTCAACATCCCACACCACAGTAGTAGATTTTTTTCAGTTGATGAACCTACATTGACATGTCATTATCACCCAAAGTTTACCTTAGTGTTCTTGGTGGTGTACATTCTTTGGGTTTTGACCACATTAGTATCATATGGAATAGTTGTACTGCCCTAAAAATCCTGTGCTCTGCCTGTGCCTCTTTCTTTTCCCCAACCCCTGGCAACCACTGATCTTTTTGGTGTCTCCATAGTTTTTCCTTTATCAGAATGTCATATATTTGGATCCATACAGTATTTTTCTTTTTCAGACTGGCTTATTTCACTTAATATTATGCATTTAAGGTTCACTCCTTTGTATCTTTTTATGGCTTGATAGCTCATCTCTTTTCAGTGCTGAATAATATTCCATCATCTGGATGGTTCACAGTTTATTTTTCCATTCTCCTACTAAAGGACAGCTTTGTTGCTACCAAGTTTTGGCAGTTACGATAAAGCAGCTATAAACTTCCATGTGCAGGTTTTTGGGTGGACATCAGTTTTAATTCATCTGGGTAAACACCAAGGAATGTGATTGCTGAATTGTATGGCAAGAGGGTGTTCAGTTTTATAAGAAGCTGTTTTCCAAAGTGACTACCATTTTACACACCTGCCAGCAATGAAGGAGTTCCTGTTGCTCCACATCCTTGCCAGCATGTGGTGGTGTTAGTAGGTTAGATGTTAGTCACGCTAATAGGTGCGTTTTAATTTGCAGTTTCCTAGTGGCCCCTGATGTTGAATGTCTTCATGTTCTTACTTGGCAGCTGTCTTCGTTGGTGTGGTGTCTTTTTCCTAGTTTTAAACTGAGTTGTTCATTTTCTTATTATTGAGTTTTAAGAGTTCTTTGTATATTTTGGGTAATAGTTCTTGTTAGAGGTGTCTTTTGCAAACACTTTCCCTCAGTCTGTGGCCTCTCTTGTTCTCGACTTGGCTTTTGCAGAGCAGAAGTTTTTAATTTTAATGAAGTCCAGCTTATCAGTTACTGCTCTCGTGGATTGTGCCTTTGGTGTTGTGTATGAGAAGTCACTGCTGTACCTAAGATCATCCAGGTTTTCTGCTTTGTTTTCTTCTAGGAGTTTCATAGTTTTTAGTTTTTTGTTTTACATTTAGGTCTGTGATCCACTTTGAGTTAACTTTTGTCAAGTTTGGGAGGTCTGTCTAGATTCATTTGTATGAATGTGGATGTCTAGTTGTTCTGGTACAGTTTTTTGAGAAGACTGTATTTGTTCCCCTGTGTTGTCCTTGCTTCTTTGTCAAAGATCAGTTGGCTATAATTATGCAGGTCTGTTTCTGAACTCTGCTCTGTTCCATTGGCCCGTTACCTAGTCTGTCACCAGCACTGCACTGACTTGATTACTGTAGCCCTGTAGTAAGTCTTGAAGTCAAGTGTCAGTCCTCTGACTGTGTTCTTCTCCTTCAGTATTGTGTTAGGTATTGTAGGTCATTTGCTTTTTTTGTAGAAACTTTAGAATCAGTTTGTCAAGATCTGTAAAATAACTTGCTGGGAATTTGATTGGGATTTTGTTGAATCTGTGTATCAAGGTGGAAATAATTTTAAACTTCCAGAAAAACTGCAAGAATAGTACAAAGAATAGCCCTGTGCCCTTTACTCATGTTCACCTGTTGCTAATATTTTGCCCTGGTGGTTTTATCATTTGGTATATGATTTTTTTTTCAGAAACATTTGGGAATAGGTTGTATACATTATGACCTTTTAACCCCACGTATTTCCTAAGAATAAAGATATGAAAGAATATGTTTTTTAAACCTTTGTATTATTATAAAATTCTGTTCTCCTAAAATGATAACTTCTGTTACTAAAATTTAGCCTAGAGAAAATCAGGGCCTGTGTTTGTCAGAAGCATCTAATGGAAAGATACTATTATACCCAAGTTGAGCTTCACATATCAGTTTGGAAAGTAGAGTCAGAGTGAGGAGGCTAGAAGACAGTTTTCAGAGAAAGCTTTAATTTTTTATTCATTCATTCAGAATAAGTTACTGTAAGATGTTCTAAAGGCAGTAAGTGAACACAGTCTGATTTCTTTGTGGGACCTGAGGGACACTTGACGTCTATTAATAGCATGATGCAATTGTCATTTTCAAGTCATTCTGGCAGCAAATAAAGTTTAAACGAAGGTGAGGAAGATTAGCCACCTATCCTTCATGTATCTTCCTGATAGTTCTATTTTCCCCTCACCTTCAGTTACTTATTTTCAGTCTTTCTCCTTATTCACCTACATCTCTCCTCTGTTTGATGTCTTCTGAATTTCTGGATATACTGCTCAGATTTCAGAGTCACATAATGACAACTATAAAAGCCATGCAATGCTAAGATTTTTTTTTTCAATTTAATTCTCATTAAAAAAATGGAGGAGTGTCTTTTATTTTACTGAACACAGAAAATAAGAAACAATTTGCTTTGGTTTTTTTTTTAGCTTCAGAGTCAAACGCTGAGATCAGAGAGTTTTCTCCAGAGAATGTCCTGTGTGAAGATGACTCATCCCGGTGCTTGATAATGGACAGGTTTCTAAGCCAAGGCTCGGAGTGTTCCAGTGTTAAAGGAGACTGGAAACGTGAGGGCGATGCTGAGGTGCTGCAGGGAAATCAGGGATGCGTCAGGCAAGTGACAGTTCCCCATCAAGAAGCCCTGTCTCAACACATGCGTGTCGGTACTGTGGAGAGACCCTACGGCTGCCAGGAATGTGGGAAAACTTTCAGTCGGCGCTTTTCCCTTGTGCTACATCAGAGAACTCATACTGGAGAGAAACCATATGTGTGTAAGGAGTGTGGCAAAACCTTTAGCCAGATCTCAAACCTCGTGAAACATCAGATGATCCATACTGGAAAGAAGCCCCATGAGTGTAAAGACTGCAGTAAAACATTCAGTTACCTTTCATTCCTTATCGAACACCAGAGAACACACACTGGGGAGAAACCGTATGAATGTACTGAGTGTGGGAAGGCCTTCAGCCGTGCCTCAAACCTCACTCGGCATCAGAGAATTCACATGGGAAAGAAGCAGTATGTGTGTAGGAAATGTGGGAAGGCCTTCAGCAGCGGCTCTGAGCTCATTCGCCATCAGATCACACACACGGGGGAGAAGCCTTACGAATGCATCGAGTGTGGGAAGGCGTTTCGTCGTTCCTCGCACCTCACCCGACATCAGAGCGTCCACGCCTCCAAAACCCCCTATGAATGTGGTGAATGCAGCAAAGCCTTCCGCTGCCACTCGTTCCTCATCAAACACCAGAGGATTCACGCAGGAGAAAAGCTCTTCGAGTGTGACGAGTGTGGTAAAGTTTTCACGTGGCATGCGTCCCTTGCGCAGCATATGAAGATCCACACTGGAGAGAAACCCTATGCGTGTGCTGAGTGTGACAAAACCTTTAGCCGGAGCTTCTCCCTCATCCTACACCAGATAACTCACACTGGGGAGAAACCCTACGTATGTCAGGTCTGCAGTAAATCCTTCAGCTGGAGCTCAAACCTTGCCAAACACCAGAGAACACATACTCTAGAGAACCCCTATGAATACGAAAACTCATTTAAGTACCACTCATTCCTTACTGAACGCCAGGGAATTCACACTATAGAGAAAACCTAAGAATGTATGGATTAAGAAAAAAAAAAAGCAGCTAATGCCTTACTCTGACTTCAGAGATCTCTTGGGAAGAAGCCTTATGTTAATGTGCTGAATGGGACGAAACGTGGTCTGTAATTTATTCAACATCCTGGAGAAAAACTCCAGGAATATGGGGAAAGCCATTAATGGCTGCTGATTCTTTTTGTAATACCAGAAGACGAAATCAGTCAGTATTGAGAAGACTCTTCCTTTGGTAGGATTCCTTTAATCTACATTTGTGAATTCCTACCAGGAAAGGATGCATGTCAGTAAATGGGAGACAGCTCTTAGAGACGAGGTCTTGTTCTGCTCAAGCAGGATGGAACGCATGGGTATGAGTGTATTTTTTCCTAGACATCAAAAAACTCCTAACAAAGGAATGTCATACAGTCATTTGGGAATGCCTTTGTGTACCACGCAGTGTTTATTAAATTTTTACATACTCTTCTAAGAAAAAGCAACCCTATAAATGAACTTAACACAGGGCGATCTTCTGCAGTATTTCAGACGTATAGAATCATACTAGTGGAAAACTTCTGTTACAGTGAATGTGGCAAACCTGACAGTTCTGAGAAGTTGAAGTGGAGAGAATCGGTGTGGGAAAGTTTTTCTGGGGGGAGGGGGGTGGTTTTTAAGCAAATTCAGAAAAGCTATGAATAAACCTTTTGATTTATAGTAACTTAATGTGGTACTGGTTGGGTTTTTTCCCCCCACAGCTTGTGATTCTGAAAATGCAGCTATCACAACATTGACACCAGCAGTGAAGAGGAGCATGCTTTTGTAAAAATGTTACACGGATGTCAGTTACAGAAACATTTTTTAGGTATTTTATGGTTTTAACTTTGAGATAGTTTGGATGTAAGGTTATGCTAACTTATGTTTACCCTTGAATCTGACTAGATGTCTTACTCAGTCAAATGTAAATACACATCAGAGGAAAATGCCAAGGTAGTCGTCCTCTTTTGTTCCCTTCACAGTAAGAACATGTCTTCTGTAAGCACGTACTTACCAAAGTAAATCAGACTGCCTTCATTTTCCAGGTACACCTGCCCATCTTTTATTTTCCCAGTTTAAAGGTTATCCTTGAAGCGTTTGATTGCCTCCTTTAAAGAACTCTTGTATTCAGTACATGAATATGTAATTTAGCACTTGAATAAGTGCCTCGTTTAGGTGTATTTTTTCACGTATGTTTAAATTTTCTTTCACAAAATTAGAGGCTGACATTTGACTCAGTGTAATAGCAACACATAGCTGCTTCCTGTTACTTCCCTAGAACCGCTCAAAGCCTCACACTCTACCAGAACCGCCCACTGTGTAAATCCCCCTTTTCCTATGGTGGTGGCCAATATTATTAATTTCCCTTGCAACATGTGGCGATCTTTGGTGAACAAGTGTGTATTTGTCATCTCAGAGGTTTATAACATTCAGCGGTGTGGCCATCCACTTCCAGGAGGCATGCGGCTGACTGGACCCTGTTCCATAATTTTTATATGGGAATGTGATGCTGGAGAACTCTGCGAGTCTGGTCTGAGGCGGTTACCATTGCTCCAAGCTCAGAATCTGAACTTAGGGATTTTTGCCTTCTCCATAGGAAGTATCAGGGGGTAGGTTCTAAATTGCCTGCCTGAATCCATACTCCATGTTCTTGAGGGGATGTTTTGAAATTGGTACAAGTGGAAAGTGGCATGCATCCTTCTGCTTTTGTTCCTGTGATAGTTCTCTTCACAGGGATCTAGAAAACCATCAGATTTTGAATTAGATAGTTTCAACTTGTAAGCAAGACTTTTTATTTCTAACCAAACATGACCTTACTGGAGCAAGGGAGAGTGAAGAATGATGGAGAAAAAGTAAGACGAGGCCTGTGATCAGGTGAGCAGGCCTGAGGAAGGGGGGAGTGCCTTTGCAGGGGGAGTCAGTTCACCAGACACACTGCCTGAATCATTTTATCAAAAATAAGACCTTTTACCAAAAATATACTTCATGCAACAGAATTCTGAACTACATAACTCACTCAAAAGGTCCTCTTGTTCATTTGTGGTAAAGTATTTCTGAAAATAAGAACTATGCTATTATTTTTAACTTAGTTAAAATACAGATAATGTATTAAAATACAGTTAATTCCTAGATTATACAGTGAAAGATATGTCAAAACGCAGTTGCCGCTGAAAAGTAAGTGAGTAGTTTGTGGATATTTTCATCTGTACAGTATGCTCTTTTTCACAGCAACATGGTGCTGGTAGGTTCATAGTTGCTTTCAGTCAATTTTGGCATACAGATGTGTATTATGTATACCCATATTTAACAGAACAACCATCTTTACAAGCTGCGCTGCTTTCCAGAGGTAGCAGAAGACTGAAAAAAAAGGTTCCTCTTTTTCGAGATAAAATTCAGTTACGATGGCCAGCCAGATGCATTAAGATACAAAAGCAGACAGGAGTAAAGTATATGATGTTGCACTTTAAGTTTCTTGTATGAAACACTTTTTCAGTTCCAGATTGTATTATTAAGACAACTGTGATACAGAATGTGACCATCTCAATACATGTGAAGGGGCAGACATCCAATTTGAACATTTTGATCTATGTAGTATAAGGAGTTTGTAGTTCAGACACACAATTTTCTTAGGGTTGCATATCCAAGATGTGAAAAATTTATGTGAAACTTAGGAAGGAAACCATTTTTTTCTCTGAGACAGTGACAGTTTTTTCATTATTCTGTTGTCATGATCAGTTATCCATACGTTTTACAAGCATCATATTCCCGATTAACACGTCTACCTTTTACAGAAGACCACATTAGGTAAGTAATGATTTCCGCGTGAAGCTTTCTGAGTTGAGTTTACCTTCAGAGTATTCACGTCTCCTGCATACAAACCACGTGCACTGCTGAGTGACCACCAGCATCCGGCACGCTGGGGGGTGCTGTCTAGCAGATGGAGCTGTCACGCAGTTGTGCATGTCGAACACGGTTACAACAGTTTTCACTGTTGTCCCTTCAACCAAATGCAATGTTGTTACTATGAGGTTGAGTTTAACTACTGCTTGTAATGTATTCAAAAAGTCTGTTTCTAGATGGGATGCCGTATTGTGATGAGCTACTAGATGAAGCAGCTAAATTACAAAAATCATACTTGCAAAGTGATCACAGAGCTGCAGAAGCAATGAGGACTAGATGAACCAAAATTTCAGAGTGGACAGCTCTTCTGAAGTAACCTGATGATCACAGGATATTTCTTTATCCCTGGTAAGCACTTACTGATTTTGGATGTGGGCTGAAAGACTGGAGATCTTTCCCTCAGCAAAGCGCTTTCGCTGGGAGAAAGAAATCACAAAAATACTAGTGGTCATTTGAAGTTGACATGGCAGGTTAGAAACCTGAGAAACCTAAAACACAAAGCTGGTTCTCTCCCGTGGGACATTTGCTGAGTCCCAGGGCTATGGAGGAGGCTGGGGAGCTGAACTGAAAGCGTCTAAAAGGCAGAGTGGAACAGCTGCAGTGTCTGTGGTAATTAGGAATGAGAAACCCACCAGGAAAGGCTATCTGCCTAAGATACATGGCCCGTTTCTTCCTCAAGCCACTTGTCAAAATTTGGCCACGTGGGACAGAAGGTTGAGACTAGGACCTACCAAACCTTAACATTAAAAAAGCTTAGGAGAGTCACATTCAAAATACAAAGGCTAAATAGAGATAAACTGAGCCTTATAAAAGCTTAGCATGGCACTGACCCAGCTCAGTCTGTGACTGGACTGAGGCATGTAGTGCCTCAAAGTATCAGAGGCAAGGAAAACCTCTTGCAGAAGGCAGCATAATTTGGACCCCTTGTGTTTCTTTTAGACACAACGTTTGGCATACAACTGTAAAAAAATGACTAAGCATGTGAAGAACAGGATTACATAACCAGTAACTAGGAGACAAAACAGACAAGAGAAACAGACATAAACTGAGCTAGATACGGGTTGGCAGACCAGGATTTTAATGTCTGTTTAATATGTTAAAGCAAATGTAGGAAAAGATGAAAGAAAAAGACAAAAAAACAAAACAAAACAAAAACCCCCACAACCAACGAAGAATTTCAATTAGTAAGTGGAATCTGTAAAAAATAATCAGATAAATATTCTAGAATTGAAAACAGTATCTGAAATTAAGAATTTAACAGATGGATTTCACAGCAAACAAGAGCAGAAAAAAGGTTACTGAACTGAATTGAAAGGCGAGTCAATTAAAAGCAAGTCAACTAAAACAGAGTTGTGGGAGGGCCCAGGGAGGGGAAAGAATCTAAGGTGAACCTCACACCCAGCAGAGGGAAGGGGACCCCTGCATCTATGAAAACAAAAACAACTTAGCGACAGTTTGTTGTCTCCCCCCCCCCCATTCAGTCTCCATGGAAACTAGCCCTGCCCGGTCACCCCCTGAGTTTCTACTATAAAACCCCGGCCTTCTCTCCTGGAGGCTCATAGTCTTAGAGGCATTAGCGCACTGTGACCTCCTTTACCCGGCAAAGAAGTCAAGTTGCCTTTTCTACTTCATCCAAAACTCTGTCCTTGAGTCTCAATCCAGTCAGCAGGGTACAGAGGCCATGCTTTGGAAACCCCTTCTCCCCAGAAGGCTCTACTGATAACCTGGGAGGACTTTCACACCCACAGAGCTCTTCACTAACACCTCTGTCCAGTCTTCTGTCCGTCTTACTCTTGGCAGATAATCTTACCCTGAAACCTACAGTCCCATGTCTGCATTTCGCTGGCCCAGGGGAACGGCTGATCTGCTTGGGATAAGGAGTTTGCAGCTGGACGCATTGCTACTCTAAGCAAAACTGGGGCACTATCAGTAAAGGAAGAGGAGGAGAGGGTAGCAGCTGGCAGTGTACGCCACACCAGGCCAGAAAGTAGCTCTTAAGAAGCCAAACAGCAGCACACAGCTCAGGTACTGAAACAGCATAAGTAAGTCAGATATAAGTAAATAAGGAGGTAATTAAAACGAACGCACACAGTCCTTTCCTTTTGAGAGAATGGTGGAAGTATCCCTCCTTACGGCAAACGCCAGTCCTGTCTGTGCCTCAGATGCCTCCACCTGCTTCTCAGGAACTGTACGGAACTCTCGCTCCTCACACCTGCACGTGTGATCTCTCCATGCTGCGCACATCACATAGGACTTAAACATGTCCTGGTTTCTCAATATTTAAAAAATACTTCTTTTCCAGCTGCTGCCCTATCTTTCTCCTCCTGTTCAAACTCGTCTGTCTTTGTCATCCTTAATTATTCCCACTGCCCACCCTCAATACACTAGTTATTTCCAGCTAAGCAACAGTAACCTTCATGTGGTTGTAAAAAAAAGTTTGCTTTTTAAGACTTCATCTAATTCAACATCATAGTAGCATTTAAAAAACTGGTTTTATTTTTTTGACTAAAAAGTGAGCATTTTATTATTTATTATTATTTTTTATTGAGTTACAGTCAGTTTACACTGTGTCAATTTCTGGTGTACAGCACAGTTTTTCAGTCATGCATGAATATACATATATCTGTTTTCACGTTCCTTTTCACCGTGAGCTACTACAAGATCTTGGCTGTATTTCCCTGTGCTATACGGTATAAACTTGTTTATCTATTCTATATCTACCTGTCAGTATCTACCACTCTCGAGCTCCCAGTCTGTTCCTACCAACCCCCTCCCCCCTGGCAACCACAAGTTTGTATTCTATGTCTCTGAGTCTGTTCCTGTTTAATAGTTAACTTCATTTGTCTTTTTTTTTTAGATAAAAATGTTTTTTTTTAAATAAAAAAAACATTGTAAACCGACTATACTTCAACTAAAAAAATATAAAACAACTGATTTTACCTTCCTTCTTCAAACACTAGTTTGTCTTGGTTCAGTAAAACTCTAGTCTTCCTGGTTTCCCTCTTATATACTAGGGTTCCTTTATCTTTAAATACAGGAGGTCTTCATGCTCAGTGGTAGACATTCTCTTTTCACAGCATCCATGTTTCCTATGCAATCTTAGTCACCTCCACAAAACCTGCTTCAGTCTACCAATGTTACAGAAATGACAGGCCAGCCAAGAAACAAGCACCACTCGGAGGGTTGGAGTACTCAGATGTATTACGCCGGCGGGCTCAGAGGGGCTTCTGCCCTGAAGCTCTGGGCACCTCCAAGACGTGTGCTTGGGGCTTTACAGGGTTAATTACAGGCTTGGGGTATTCGGCCAATAGGCATGGAACAACTTTAGCAGCATCATTATCACAAAAGTAGAGGCAAGGAGGCAGCAAACCAACATTTCAAGGCCAGATATGTCTCTGAAAATCCAGCTGGCTAGCAAAAAAACATGAGCAGGGAATCAGCATACTGACACTTAACTTAGACTTACGAGTTAGCCCAGCCCGGCTTTTCCTTCGCACCTACTGATGTTGCTAAAATTATCTCTGTCCTAGACACCTCCTCAGGCTCAGAACTACATACCAGCCTGTTCATCCAGGTATCTCACAACTCTATAAAGTTAACAGGACTAAAACTGCAACTACTGCCTCTTTCTTCCATCACAGTTTCCTCCTTCCATATTCTGTTTCTCAGTAAATTAGAGCTAATCTGATCAGTATCTGTGGAACCAAGCAGCAAAATCTGAAAGGTTTCATTCAGCATTTAAAACTGATAACTTCCCCTCTAACTGAAGACTCTTTGATTTTTCTTATGCTGAAATGTTGGGGTTTCCTTCCTGCTTCTCTGATCACTTGCTTTCAGTGACCTCCTCCATCAGCTCTAGCCTCCGTGCAGAAGTTCTATCAGCACCCGTCTTCTGGTCCTCCTGAGACAGGATGGAAGGGGATAGGGCACAGCCATGCAAGGAATGCCACAGCAATTAACATCAAAATGGTGAAAGATTCAACCCCCAGTAGGCCTTGAGGCTCAGGATGATGAGAAATTTAACTTCTCGTAGATCTTGAGCTTCATTATACGCTCGCTGTAATATATTAACATGGTGAATAACACGCCCACAGGCACCATGACAGTCCCAAGGGTAGCCACAAAAGGTCAAAGAGTGGGAAATGGCCAACTTCCTGGGAATCCCAGCCCCTTCCCCAGGCTACTTAGATGGGTCCTTCCACTTACGAGCACATGAAGCCACCAAGCCCATAAAAACCAGCAACACGGTGCCTTGCGGCCGCCCCTCTCTCTCCCTCTTCCGAGATGGCCCACATTCTGTCTTTGGAGTGTGTACCTACTTTTAATCTGAGCACCCAACCCCCCACACCTTGTGGCCTTTCTCTTTCCTTTCAATGTATCTGAATAAATCTACCTTCACTCAACTGTGGCTCGGTCCTGAATTCTTTCCTGCGTGAAGCCAAGGACCCACGCTTGGCGGGGCACGTCCCAGGGGCTCGACTGAAGCCTGGCACACAGCCCTTCTCACACCCCACGTTTTCCTGCATCACTCCCTTTTCTATGTTCCTATCCAAATTTGTACACCCAACATAAAATATTTAACTCGGCATATCTTGTGTTTTTTGTTTTTTGGTTTTTTTTAAAACAAGGTTACTTGTTTGTATTGACTACATTGCCTGTGTTCACGTACTATTTTGGAAAAAAAAATCAGTAAGCTTATTCTTCTCACGTGAAAAGATGCCGATACATAAGCCATGCAGTGCTGGCACAGCTCTCTGAAGATGCCTCTGGGAAACCAGGGCCTCTCTGACACCATCCTTAGGCCATGGTTGTCATCCTCGTTCAGCCCTACGAATGCAAAATCCAAAGGGAGAAGCCTAGGGAAGGCAGAAAGACAAGGCACAAAAGGCAAAGAGGAAGCACCACATAGATCTGTCCCCAGGGAGACTGTCTATATTTGATTAATCAGGAAGGAGGGATAGGGCCATGCCTGGCGGCCAGGAGGCTGAGAACTAGCCACGTCGGTACTGGAGCTAAAGTAGGGTTGTCAGTAGGGAGGGATGAACTGGGTGTTCACTGGCCACCAGCAGTATCTGCTGCACCGGCCTGAGGGCGACTCTCAAGAAAATACCGATGAAGTAGCATCATACAGCCCAGGTCCTCCAAACACAGTGCAGTTAACCTAGACACCAACAGCGACGCAACTGAAAACATTAAGAACACATAATTCTAAAGAGCCATGGATCAGAAAAGCCATAAAGTCATAATGAATATTAGACAACATTTAGAATTAAAACAAAATAAGTGATCACAGACCAAGATGTGTTACTCAGCTAAAGGGGTGTTTATAGGACTATCTATCGCCTTAAGTGCCTATTTTAGAGAACAAAGACTGAAATAATGAGCTCGGAATCCACCTTAAGCCAATGAAAAAGGCAATCCCACATTCATTAACAGTTACAAGGTTTCTCTCCCAGCATGAATTCTCTTGTGTATAGTAAGTGAAGAACTCTGACTGAAGGCTTTTCCACACTGAATACATCCATAGGGTTTCTCTCCGGTGTGAGTTCTCATATGTCTCTGAAGGGAGGAGGAAACACTGAAGGTTTTCCTACATTCCTTACATTCATAGGGTTTCTCCCCAGTATGAGTTCTCACATGCATTCTAAGAGATGAGAGACCACTAAAAACTTTCCCACAGTCAGTACATTCATAAAGATTCTCTCCAGTGTGTATTTTCTTGTGAACTTTAAGGTGAGAGCTTGTGTTGAAGGCTTTTCCACAGTCATCGCATTCATAGAGTTTCTCCCCACTGTGTATTCTCTTGTGCACAATGAGGTAAGAACTTGTGCCAAAGGATTTCCCACAATGATTACACTCATAAGGTTTCTCTCCTGTGTGAGTTCTCACATGAGCCTTAAGAGATGTTTTTTGACTGAATGCTTTCCCACACTGATTACACTCATAGGGTTTCTCACCAGTGTGAGTTCTCACATGTCTCCTTAGGGTTGAGGAATCACTGAAGACTTTCCCACATTCCTTACATTCATGTTGTTTCTCAGTCTTGTGACTTCTCTTATGCAAAATAAGATTAGAAATCCTTTTAAAGGCTTTTCCACACTGATGGCATTCATAATGTCTCTCTCCAGTAGGAGTCTGCTCCTGTTGCTTATGGGATGAATGAGGATAAAAGGTTTTGTTTTTACTGCATTCATAGGAATTCACCGCCATATGGAAACTGCTGCATACAGGAAGCACATTATTAAATATGAAAGGCACACCATGTCTGGAGCAGGTGTGCTCTTTCTGTGCTGTCTGAGTTCTTTCAAGCTGAGACCTATGATATTCATGGCTTTCACAGACCCTCTCATTTACAACAGAGTTTTTCCCGTAATTGTTTAGGATTGAATTATGCTTTAAACACTCAATATCTAAGTAACATTTATGACAATGTTTACTGGTGGAAACGCTCTTTGAAAAACCACGTTTTGATCTAAGTTTAGAGTATCCCTCCAATCCATGACATTCATATGATCTCTCCTGAGGTGCCGTCTTCTGAGTAAGCATCACTTGCCTTAAAATTCCCTTTGGGATCTTGTGCTGTCTTCTGATCCTGCAGCATTCCCAGTCTTCTCTTAATGTGGAAGGCCAATCATCCACTGTGAATCTTAACATTTTCACACCACTGGATGATTTTGCCACCCAAATATGCTGCTTAGCTGTTGATTCTTTGGTGTTCAGTTGACTCTCCCAGTCTGGACAGGTACCTTGGGAAATTCTCCTTTTCACAGTTCTTATGTCTTCTTGACCCAACAGGGAGACTACAGGCTTGCATAACTGACATTCCACTGAGGTGAGATTTATGTAGTTTTCCAACATCACATCCCTGTACATACTTTTCTGAGTAGAGTCCAGCATCATCCACTCCTCCTGGGTGAACTCCACAGCCACATCTTTAAAGGTCACTGGTCCCTGTAAACAGGTTGCTGGGAATCCAGCCACTACCCTTTCCCCCTCAGTATTTCTCACACAGAAAAAGGCAGAGTCCTGTGCAGGCAGAGCCCATATTGGGGAGAGGGCTATGGCTGCCATCTTGAGAGTCTCAATGTGACCACCGCCTGTACAATGGGGCTGAGAGATCTGGATATTTCTTTTCTTGTTTCTTGGCTCCAGTCAGGTCAGGGATGCATTTCACTGGGTGTCCTCCCTGTGGCCAAAGAGGCAGGTTCAGGTAAAAGAAGAGTGAAAACAGAATCCAACTGAAGGCAAGGTTAAAAAAAATTACAGACCCTCCCCTGTACCTTCCAGCAAGGTTTCCCAGCTTAAAACCTTTACTGGGATTTGTACTGACATGGATACAGCCACGCTTGGCCCCTTCTTGAACTGTCATCTTGGTTATTCACACTGGCTTCTCCTGTAGACTACTACTCAGCTCTGGGGATTATTAAAGACAAAGAGAACCAGTATAAACAGGCATTACTGTTTAAATTTTATGCATATTTTGCTAATTTTTAAGTTAACTTTTTGGAATAAAAAAAAATTCCCACTGAACACAACTGTTTTAGGTAAATTTCTTTGTTGTATATATAACTTGGTGTTTAACTGAATAACCTCACAAACAATTAACAGGGCTGATGATTTGGCTGTCACCCTACTTAGGAGTTTTACTGGAGTTGTTAAAGGTAAATGTGTGACTTTGAAACAAATGTTCATTTGATATCTCTGTCCCCATAATCCATATTTCCTTATGACAATTTATTCTACCTAAAACTGGAATGGGATCAACAAAGAAGTATGAGCTACATTCTAAGCTTTGAGACTGAGGCCTTTACAGTGTTGACAATATTCGATGGTATAATACTTTCCTGAATAATTTTTATAATGGCTTTTATATAAATGTTGGAACAACTGACCCTGTGAATACAAAAAAAGAATACTTGGAGACTTTAGGGATCACAACAAATCATGCAGCACTTTATTACGCCAATATCTTTACAGATCTCTTTTTTTGAAGATGAGTTGATAACCTCCAAATACAAGCCTTCTAGCTCAGTATACACTTCAGTATCAACAGAGTTCAGGTTTAATGGACAAAATTAGAGAATTGGCATTCTTTATTTAGACAAAGATCTTCAACAGGAAGAGTATGTCCTTACTTCAGAAGTGTACACAATTCTGTCACACTTCAGTGTGAATCACATGGAAGTATCTGTCTGATTCATTCACTGCTGTATTCTGAGTACCCAGAACACCCCTCAGCCCAAGGCAGACACCCAACAAATGTTTACTGAATAAACTGAATTAATCTATGGCAATTAAGGTTTTGTGGAAAAAGTTTCTTTTTTCCCCCCAACATCTATACTGTTCTTACAAAAGAGAAACAAAATCTGAAAGTTAGTCTCCCTCTTCAAAAAAGGACATTAGTTTGCCTTCTGGTTAAAGTTGTTAAGCTAAGAATTGTACTCTGGGCTCATTTCTTCATTCCCCCTAGCTTTCTTTCTTTCCTAGTTACAGAACTAACACAAAAACTAAACAACTTTACCAAACAACAGGGAAAAAATATCTGAATAAATGGAGAGATTCACCATGTTCATAGATGGGAATATTCAGTATTAAAACATTTCAATGTTTCTCAAACTAGAATTGCATTAGGATTTTCATTAAATTCATTCCTATATATTCAATAGGAACTTCTTGAAACATGACGATTTTGTTTTAAAAGTTTTATAGAAAAATAAAGACGTGAATAACATGGCAATTATTAAAGTAATGCTTTGCTCTACTATATTATTTCAAAACTCATTATAAATCTCTAGTAACTTAAACATAATTGATGAATGTAAAAGTTCCAATTATGATGAATAGGTTACATACAAAAGAACAATGGAAGGGGACCTCTCAGTAGTGACACTGCTCCATTTTCTACCAAGCTTTGCCAGTTTTCAAAGTTCTATGGGAAAATAATTTCCTATCTCGGGTTTCTATACTAGTCCAAAATACTATGCAAATATGAGAACAAAATAAAGCAATTTCTAGTCACACACAACCTTAATGTTGACCACTTCTCTGGAAGGCAGTAAGGTTATTATTCATTAAAAAGGGAAAAGAAGTTTCCAGGAAACAAGAGATCCAACAGAGAGATGAGAGGAAGGGGTGGACGAGTATGAAGGGAAGTCCCAGCCTCCCTTCAGAATCTAATAAGAGAAGGAAGAATGCCCACCCTGCCACACTGGTCAGCGTAATCTTTTCTCAGAACTTAGATAATTACTTCCAATTTTTAAAATTAACATTGTTCTAATTATAAAAGTAATGCATGCTCACTCTTGTTTGCTGATCTTGTATGCTGTTTAAATTTGCTATGCAATTATTGATTCTTTTTCTGCTTAATCTGTCACTGTGACTATGGTATGTTTCAGATGTGGCTCTTGTAAACAGGAAATAGCTGGCTTTGTTTTTTATCGAGTATTTTACATAAAGAATTGCACCTGTCTATACCGCTAAAAAAAATGAAAATAGCAAGAAGGAAAAGAAAATTTTAAAACAGAGAGCAAATATTACCCTAATAGAAATCCAAAACGAAAAACATAAGACAAAACCAACAGATCTCCAAAATAATCCAAATCTGCTTCTTTGGAAAGATTAATGTAGGTGGATATCTTGTAGGACTAATCAAGAAAAAAGATGGCCCTAATAAATATTAGGCTCAAGAAAAAAATAGCTACAATCATAGTAGTGACTTTACAATATCTTTCACAAGCAGTGATTTTAAAAATCACCAAAAGAATCACTACAAAAGAATAATATGAACAATTTTATGTCAACAAACTTGAAAATTTAGATGAGGCAAACAATTTTCTAGAAGAACATGTGTCCAAAATTGACTCAGTTAAGAACTACAAAACTGAAATGAATCACTACCATTTAAAAATGAATCAGAAGTCAAATATCTACCCTCAAAGATTTTGAGCCCAAAACTTTCAAAGGGAAAATTATTTTACTGAGTAGAAGAAAAAAACTACGCTTCTCAAGTTATTCATAAGACTTGTAAAATCTTTTTAGTATTTGTACTGCAAGGATAGTACAAAGAAAGATTAAAGTGCCATCTTAATTCTGAACACTGAAAAAGTCCTAAGTAAAATATTAGTGAATTGAATATGGCAGTGTCTTAAAGTAATAATATAATGTCACATTCAAGCAGAGTTTAACCAAGAATACAGGAATGTCTCAAAAGCAGAGAAACAATTACGGTTATCATCATGTCATAGTATAATGAACATGCTTGTATCCATCACTCTATTTTGAAGGAGATCTGGGAATGATGCATTATTTGTAAATACTTCAGAATTTATCTCTGAATGATAAGGACTTTTCAAAAGTCATAACCAGGATATTATTACCACACCTAGAAAATAAGTAATGATTCCTTAATATCAAATACATATATATGCAGTGTTCAAATTTTTCTGTTACCTCATAAGTGCTTTACTAAAAGTTTAATTCATGGTCTAAATAATTTTCATACAATTTTAAGTATGTTTTAATTTAAGGTTTGCTGTAGAGAAACAGTATCTCCTTACTGTGATGCAACCCATTAACAGGTTAAGGACTGTGGACAAAGAATGTCACCTGCCACATCAGTACACAAAAGACGTTGTGGCCTTCAAGCCATCAGGCACTGCAGCTGCCAGGCCTTTGCACCCTAAGGAGGGTTCAGGATGCAGAAGACAGGACACTGCTCCCAGACAGTTAAGGTGCAGATCAAAGAAGTGCTTTCAGTCAGCCCAGGCTCTCTCATCTTCCCATACACAGAGAAGTGCTAAATTCATTCACTTGAGCTGTCCAGTTTTCTTTGACAGTAACCTTTTGATGTTCTGACTACCTGGTTTTTGTTGCAAAAACTCCTGTATAACCTGGCTCCTGCCTGCCTCTTCAGAGCAGTCCCTCAGGGCCATCTGAGAGGCTGTCTTCTGGGCTTAAGTCCTCACAAAGTCGGCTGAGTAAAACACAATTCTCAATCTTCAGGCTGTGCTTTTTTTTTCCCAGTTGAGAGAAGTTAGAGTTAAGAAAAAGTCCTGGATAAAGTAAAAAGAATTGGCGGGACACCCTGCTCCTCTCACCCACACACTGAGGTGACA